TTAGAATTTTTTGTTACAAATGAAATAATCAAATTTATATGTATAGTTGAGCTTAGGGATTAACTAGGCGAAACTTGCTCATCTTTTTGACCAAGAATCACAAATTTTATTGTAACTTAATAAAATAGCATTTTATAGCTTATATATTGTTTTCAGCTTTTTTACTTATATGAAATTTAATTGTTTTCTAGCATGTGTCTTTTTTTGATTGGGAAATATCATCTTCTCCATGATATTTGATAAACTGATCGAATTTTAATCTGGCAATTTAGTGAGAAAATTTAAACAAGGTCCCGCAAGATTATTGGCGGAAAGGTATAATTATTTTTCTTTTTTATTTATATGCAAGTCGTAATCTTCCGTAATGCTTGCAAAGAAATCAGAAGAAAGGCTTCTGCCCCTTGGCGACTCGGAATGAATGGGAAGAAGTGAATCAGAAATGAACTTATATAAGAGCGCTTATTCCGCTTCCTTCTACTCTTGAAAGGTGACACTTTCACGACGTTGGATAAATACCATTTGAAGTTAAGGAGCTAACCTCCAACCTCTTCTTTAAAGCTATCTAAGAGTGGTTATTTTTTATTACTTGAATTTTATTGTAAGAAATTGACAAGAGTTTTAAGTAATGCAAATTTTATATCAAAAGCTCAGTGTCAAATTGCTAAGTCGTTTTAAGTTTTTTTAAACGTTAAACTTAATGGTCTTTATTTTTATTACTCCCATAACTTTTTTATTATGAAAAACCTTTAAAATAATTAACAGTCATATTAATGATATAATTTGGTATTCTGGATTATATTGTAATCCTATAAATAGAGATATTATAAGCTTTTGTTGAAATGCACACATTGACATTTTAAGTTGTCATGTTTTTAGTGTTTATTGTGTTGATACTTTGATTCTTAAAAAATTATATTAAGACTATTGAATGGTGATTGCTGCTCATGGAAGTGTTTATTATGTTGATGCTTTTCTTACTATTTTTTTTTCATCTTCTTATTATCAAAATAAAGGAGAACCATAACCACCCTTTACCTAAATAGAAGAAGCCCAAAAGTTGATAACTGATCTGCCACGTCTTACTATGCATTAAACATCTCTGTAATAAATAATAATTAAATGAAATAAAAAAGTTACAAACAACCTATATATGTGTATAAAAATTAAGTTAAGAAAAATGATTCTTTGAGTAGGAAAATCAGAATGGTAGTAATACATTTGGAGGAATCAAATATGTCAATCAAGTGATGAAAAAGTTTTTGTATCTATTTCACTCAAAGTTTGCAAAAGGCTATGAAGTTCTTATGTAAATTAACAAGTATATTATCTTTATGTTTTTTTTTCTCATTTCGCTTGATATTATTTTCATTTTTTAAATTTATTATTATGTAACTTTTTTCTTTAATTAGGTGATGGATGTTTATATCCATACTCTATTCAAATAGGGCGAAATGTCGCGGTGACTCGAGAAATAATCAATTAATTCAATGTTAAAAGAATTTTAAGAATAAACAAATTTTAAAGGAGTCGCTACCTAATTTTAGGAAAAACTAGGAAATCATTAAGTGATCTACGAAATCAAGATTCTAGGTAAGGGGTTCAAGTTATTTCGAAGGGAAGGTGTTAGGCATCCTTCGAAATCCACGACTGTGGGTCCCGACTGAATTCATTTTTTTCAAATTGAGGAGGAGATAAAAAACAATATACAACTATAATAAACATGTCATATACACAAGTAATAAAGTAAACAAATAGTATGAGAAAGGACCTAATGTTTGCCTATCGTTAACAATATACATAATAATTGAATGAAATAATAACTTTATTCGAATGGCTTCAATGAGAAGCGACTCTGGAGTACTTGTAAAGACACTTAGTAAATATATATGAATCAAAAAAAATAAATGAATCAAATAATAACAACTCGTCTTATTAACATGGGAGGCCTTGGAAATTGACGGTAATTTCTTCATTGGCCAATTTTAACAAACAAAATATAAACATAAACTAAATTTCTGTCTTTTAACATGTGAAGGCCTCGAAAACCGACGGAGAGTTTTTTGATTGTCCAATTTTCACATAACATTTTTCTTTTCAAACACAAAGTAACACAAAGCTAATAGTGATATACAATAACGTGGTTAGTGACCAAATGATAACCACCTAACAACATAATTCATTCATATTCTTATATCTAACAAAATCAACAATCCAAACATGAAATAAAAATAAGCCAACAACAAACCAACAAACACGTAGTTAAAATACTTGATAAAATCTCTTGGAGGAGATAAATCCAAGAAGAAAAATGCCCTAACATTATGAACAAAATCAAATCAACCAAACAAGTATATAACAAATTTAGGAATTAAAATATCAAATGACAATAATGCTAACAAAAAAAACTAGGGCAGTTATAAGTATTAATCATAATTTAGAATAAAATTAAATCAACAAACAAAAACAAAGAGTTTATCATGAATTAGATGTGAAAATTAAATAACACTAGAGCTAAATGAACTTAATAATAGATTTATTGGATAATCAACTTGATCACCGGATAAAAAAAAATACTCATACCAAATAACTCTACTATAAAGATACGATAATATAATAAAGCTAAATAAATGAGAGGGAAAGCAATTGTCTTAAAAAAATCACCCACGAACCATAACGATAATCTTAATAGAAAATGATAATAAAAAATAAAGAAAGAAACAGTAAACCGAATAGCGAACCTCGCCGGAAATAGAGTTGTTGGTCTCATTTTGTTGGTTGTTATTTCGCCGGAGCTCGTGGTCTTGTTGAAATCTGGTTCATGACTGTGGGCTTCTCGGGAGTTCATCGGAAACGGCGAAGAGGCGTTTGGATTTGGTGGCAGCTGGTTGTGTTGTTGTTTGTATGGTTTGGTGGCGTTTCAGGTGGTTGTGTTGTTGTTTGTATGGTTAGGTGGTGTTTCAGGTGGTTGTGGGTCTGGTCTGGTTTCACCGGAAATGAGGTATTGTTGGCTGTTTCCGATCGGAGACGGGGTGGGGTTTTGAGGTTGTTTGTGTTGGGGTTTCTCGGAGGTTGTGTGGCTGTTGTGTTTGGTCTATTTCAGTGGGGTTTTGGATTGGCGTTTCGCCGGGGACGAGGGTGGTTTTGGGACGGGTGGCTATGAGAGCATATAGGATGAGAGAAAGATTAGGTTTCTATCTGAAATTGTTTCTCTCAATGTCCAAAATATTATCCACCATCTTTGACCTAATGAATAAGTCATTGTTTATATAGAAAATAAAAAATTACATATAGTATAGTACGTACTATTCTTTTAAAATCATGCGCCAAAATCATTAGCCTTTAAAAATATTTGTGCATGAAATTTTATCCATATTCAAATGAATTTCTAAACTGTGCAAAATATCAAAATTAATATTAATAAATGTAACAAATAAAATGAATATTAAAAAGTATAATGAACGTAGCTAATGACATGTAAAAAATGTAATTTATCAGAACTAATGATTTAATCGAAATGAATTAATATTTGAACGTAGTCAACTGGTTGTGATAAAAAAATAATGTAATTAAAATTAACTGATAAAAAAAATCCTAAATTTTGACAAATAAAGATAGTTATCGATAAACTTATTTAAAATTATAAAAAATGTATTTTAAACTATTAAATAAATAAAACTTAAAAGTTATGAATTTTGAAAATGTTAGGCCAAAATTGAGTGTCAACAATGGACGAGTATACTATATAATTTCTAACGAATACTTTATGGTTTACGGTGCATTATATTTTATATTGATAAATTCAACCTCATTTTTTTGGTTTTTCTTTTCTTTGAATGCTTGCATATGATATCTCTCTCTAATATATAGTGTAATTCGTTTGTATTGTGTTCAGCTTTAATTAAAACGTTTATGATAAAATAACCAATTAGTTTTTAAAAAAAATTAGTTTATATGAAAATCACAGAAAAATGAGTATTAGTGACGGAAATAATAACTATTTGAATTAACTTATTTTAAGTATTTTTATACTAAATAGCTTTTAAGCACTTTTGAAGTGTTTAGGTAAATTTAAAAAGTACTTAGAAGAACTTGATTTTAAGTTAAAGTGATAAAAATAAATCAAAAGCCATAAATTAAAAAAAATTTAACTTATTACTTTTGACTTATAAGTCAAAAAATAAAAATCAATCCAAACAAGCATTATTTCCACCTCGTTTAAAAAAAATATGCAATAATCTTAACTGCATTATGTCTTCTTTTGTTCTTTTTTGGTGTCAAACGAAGTCAATTTGCACATACACTTTTAAAAAATTAGTTTAACAGAATGTAAAATACTTAACCTTTTAACCATATATGCAATGAATTATGATGTTTTAAAAAAAATATTTTAATAGCGAAGCACAATATGATCCGCATCATATAATTATATTAAAGATCAAACTCAAATAAAGTAATAATATTTTTTTATCATTTCTCAAAATAAAAGAAAATGTTGAATGTATATATACAACTAAATATCTAATAAAAATGTTGTTAACATATTTGAATACTTTAGAACTGCACAATTGTGAAGAGAATAAAAAATTTAATTAAATTTATTTATCAATTGAATTTTTTTTATATGGATATTTTTTAAAAAAATTATTTCAAAAAATTTATAAAATTTTAATTGACCACGCAAAATACGAATTAGTTAACTAGTAATACAATATAAGCAGATCTTACCTAGAATTAAATAGCAAACTGGGACATTGCATTAACAAGAAATAAATAGAATTTGCACCGTACATCATAATCAAAGAGAATAAAGTAACCTTTCCTCTTATTGATAACATAAAAGCAAATGAAGCTTAGCTATACAAACGATATCTCATTATTGAAACAAAATTTTAGACTCTTCCGCAAAGAACAAAAAAAACAATTTTTTTGTTTCTTAACTAAAAAAATAGGAATAAATAATTGGAAAATTAAATCAGAAAATTCTCAAAAAAAAAGAAAAATCAAAAATCTGGAAGCTCTTTAATACTTTCTGATGAGGATGAAGAAAAGGAGTTTCTCATACTAGGCATAAAAAATAAAGAATCGGTATAGTTACAAAATTGCTGATCTGAGAAAAAATAATCAGACGAATTAGTAATTGGATTAGGATCAAAAGGTGCAAAATTATTATCAAAAAAACTTGGAGAATCACTAAGATTATTAATATTATTATTGTAATTATAATTACTAAAATCACTATTAGTATCTTTATAATCATTAATATTAGGTAGATCAAAAATTGGAGGAGGTGGAACATAACAAGAAGCTGATGAATTATCTCCTATACAAGAGCTTCCGTTATTTTCATCCGTGACAACCGAATCATTGTCATCATTCATCAATAAATCATATTTCTCATTAGTATTAGTATTAATATTTGTCATATTAGTACGATGATAATTATTTTCTTCATCACCAAGTCGGAGATCTCCAAAACAGCTTTCAGCACCCGATATAGGATCATGATCGTGATCCATTTCCTCGTTTATTGGCTCGGATTTAGGATGATATTGAGGCATAGGCATTGATTGGGGCGGATGATGAGAATGCGAAGAGACCTCTTCAGGAGAAAGACCAGTGAGTTTTTGGACCAATGCCTTGAAATCACGCGGATGCGTGTGGATGACTTTTGGAGAATGAGTGTAGATGATAACCGGTTGACGTTGTTGTTGATGATGAGGGATGAAGGTCGTTGAGGTAGTGGCCGCGACCGCGTTGTATAACGAGGACGATGAGGAAGAAGATGGTAATTTTTTGATGTGATAAGAGGCTTTATTGATCTTCAAAGGAGAAGATATGTTATTGTTATTATTACTGTTGTTGTTGTTGCTGCTCATGACCATGGCATCATTGGTGTTTGAATGATGATAGAATTGTGCATGGTTCATGATTGATTAAACACAACTAAGTGGATTTTTGTGGTGAATTTATAGAAGAAAATTGAGTGATTAATTGATTGAGTTGGAATATACAATCTATAATAGTGTGAGTTTAGTTACAAAACAAGTGATAAAAAGTATAAATCTGAGAGCTTAGCGGAAAACAGTTACGTAAATTATTTTGTGCAAAGAATTGCTTATTCATAGGCTAGGAAAATGCATCACGTTAAGTGTGAAACAAGGCTCTAATTTTCACGACAAAAATGAGAAATAAATTTTCCAACTGATTTATATGTTATACTTTATCTTTTTATAACAGTTTTTTTAACTGATAACATCAAGAATTATCTTTTACAACAACATAGTAAAATTATCCATTTATTACTTTATTTTTGGGTGATATAATTATTAATAATCTTAACAGAAATAGAAATATCTCCAAAATTACCATTAATAATAGATTTAAAGATTATGATAAAATATTTCAATATTATATAAAATATTATATGAGTATATATTTCATTATAAAAAGATTTTTCTTCTTTATATAAAGTGTATTAAGTTGAGATATTGATAATTTTTGTGTTTATAACAACTAAATATTATTTAAATCTCAAATGTGTGATTAAGTTTAGATTTGGAACCAATAACATTGTTGTTGAGAGACTCGACTATAAAAGCGTATGGTTTAAAATTCATGTTTTATATTTTATTTTTTATCAAATGTATTTTCAGTAATCTTCATTAATTTTTCACTCTAATGTCTCAAATTAGTTATATTTTAAGAAAAAAACTAGTAATATCACTGTCTCTCCATGAATAAACATTGGAAGATTTTTATTTTCTAAATAAGTTTTACCTAGAACAATATAGTGTTAGTTACGTTTTGTTCCGCAACAAATTAAAAAGAAACAAATTAATTGAAATATGCGTAGCAAGATCATTTTCACAAATATAAATTGAGCGTGTTTTGAAAATAAGATTTATATATAACTACAGCCTAATAATGATCATTTTAGAATAGTTTGCCCACTTTTATCACAACTTCTCACTATTTATCCAATTTTGAAATATCTATTTAGTAAGTAATTATCTTTTTGCAACTTATGAATTTCTTAGTTACATTTGTTGTTGGGTTTTAAAAGGTGTGAATGAAAAATGAAGAGTTGAGATTTTTATGAAGAGTTGTTACTTTTATGAAAAATTGTTGACTTTTATGAAGAGTTGTGACTTTTATGAAAAGTTGCAACTTTTATGAAAAATTGTGACTTTTATGAAATGTTGTGACCTTTCCGAAAGATAGTGACTTTTCCAAAGGTTTGTGACATTTTCGGTAAGGCACAATAAGAACCTTTTCACACTATCATTTGTTTTCTACAAATTGAGGGATTTCCTCTCATTTTAGTTAAAACGAATTTTCTTGGACTTCTTCTACTACTACTAAATCTAGTATTCTAAGTGTACTTTACTGTCGTTGAGTGGTTCGTTGACACTGTGGTTTTAGATTCCGATATATCTGTGAGTAAGATCGTTCTATTCTGGGAGGATATATTCCATTAACCTCGGGTACTTGAGGGGAATAATTTTCTTAAGGAGACACTGTACATTCAGTGAGAAAAATATTTTTATATTATTTCTAATCTGTTTCTAATTCTATTTTCTCTATTAGTTTTAAACTTTGTTGTTTCTTACCAAGTTCTTTAAAATTTTGTTCTAAGTATCTTAGGAATAGAAGATGAACAACATTTGTTTTATACAAATGTAACTGCGAGCTAACTTGAATAAAAGATACAGAGACTGAGAATTTTTCCCAAGTCAATCATTACTAGAAATGTAACTTTTTTCTATTACAAAAGATCCTGAGATGTAGTTTTATAATCTGAAACTAATTCAGAGCGAGTTACTCCCAAATGGTAGAGTCCAATTGGTATGATTGTTCCGGCGGCTGAGGTTGAAGAGAATCGAACGCCAAAGAGGAAGAAGGCGGCTCCAGTAGATTAAAATTACCCATAGTATCTTGTGATTGAATATTATATGGGTAATCAAGTGTATTAATAATTGTGGTAGATGGATCAATATCCCTTTGTTGATAATTATAGTTACCCCTGAATTGTAATGCTCTAAAAAGCAAAGAATTTACTGATGGAAGAGCATCCAAGTTCATATTTCCCTGATTGGTGTAATTTTGTAGGTTAAATATCTCACCTTCAATTGATGGAGGAGCGGGGACGCGGTTGAAATTTGGTTGATGATGATATTCTGCAAATTCTTTGGCTAATGTGTAAGTGTCACAAGGAGATTCTACTTGATCAGATTGTTGGGATGATGATGTTGCATTTGATTTTTTTACACTTGAGTTTTTGTGAAACAACCTACTAACTACCCATTCCTCCTGAAAACAAAAAAAAATTGTTAATGATATTAATGTTCTGATGAATTTGTAAATGAGCTTACCATCATATTAATTAATTAAGACGACAACATTGGTATGACATATCTTTAGCATTTTACATGATTTAATAAAAGAAAAATGAAAAAAATATTTGAAAAAAGGTTTAGGTATTTGAACATGCAATTTAATTGTTAAAAAGTTGGAAGTTGTTTCACTTGAAATTAAATATTGTTCAAACTAATTTTTAAATTTCAAATTCCCTAACTGAAGTTGACGTAGAAATTGTAAAACAAACATCAATTTGAAAAATAAATAATATTTCAAGTTGAGATTAAAGAAACAAGATACAAAACTTGTCGCTTAAAAAATGTGCTCATTTCCTTTCGTTTCGTCTTTATAGTAATTGAGCATCTAAAATATATTGAAAATTTTGGAATGTTATAGTCTTAAACTAATAAAGGTATGTATTGCACGTTTTAATCGATTAAAATACATAAATTGGAGAGCATAAACTAGTAAACAATTGCCATATAATCGGTTAAAATACGCTAATAATGCATTTACAAATTCATTTTTTTCCCCCTAAAATGTAGTACTAATAGAATAGAATTGCTAATTACCTTAGGAGGTTTGAATCCAAGGTTGGATTCTAGCCTATATTCATGCATAACCCAATTGGTTTTTTCACCCTTAGGAGCTCTTCCTTTGTAGAAAACAAGTGTTTTCTTCATCCCAACAAGCTCGACTCCACCGCGAAAAATCTCTTTATCTTTGCCCGTTGTTTTCCAGTAGCCAGCTTCTGTAGCTCTGTTTGTGCGAAGACCCGTTGGGTACTTTCGATCTTTTTGGTTAAAGAAGTACCATTCTTTTTCTCCCATTGAGGCTTTGGCTGTAAGAGATTACAAATTATTGATTATTTTTATATATAAGTACAATATAGAACTTTTGAAATAGGTAAGTTATACCTTTCCTTTTGTTTTAATCAGTATGTCTCGTACTTTCCTTTTTAATCTATTCAAAGAAACTCAAAACATGTTGAAAGGTAAATATTGTGGGTAAGAATGCCCAAAGCTTTGCAAAAAGAGGGAAATAAAAATGTCATTTTCTAATTTTTTTTTTTTTCTTTTCATTTCGTTTCTTGTTTTGTTTGACCTAAAAAGAGTGCTTTTTAAAAAAAAGAATTAGTAAGTTTTTCAATTCCAACATTCAATTACATGTTGATATAAAATGAGAAACTATATAAAAAGATATATACTACTTGTTAATTGTTCAAAATTTTCAAAAATATTATGATATTTGTGTTGGATTTTCAAAATGGTTAGAAAATTAAACAAAATTAGAATCAGTCAAAGAGCTCTGAATTGAATTGTTGAAGTTTCAGAATTTCATTTCTAGTTAGGGCTTTCAATTCGAAAAAAAGTGTTAGCGGGTTCATCTCTTTCAAAAATTTCAAGTAAGAGCGCGTAATTTAGCTCGAACAAAGTGAGAAGGCTGAAACAGAAGCTCGACCTACAAGGAGATGGAGAGGAGATCGAAGGGACTCGGACTTTCGATCGCTTCTCTATGGTGGAAGGTTTCTTTCGTATCAAAAATGTGTTGGGCAGAACAATTGAATCAAGACAAATTAAAAGAAAAGAAAGATCAAAATCAAGATCAAGAAAGAAAATAAGTAAAATATCTTCATTGAATTCAAAGATTAGGTATAGAATTACCAGGAAGGTCCCAAGGCTCAGATTTGTTGAGATCAACATCAACAATAGCTCTAGTAGTAAAGCTAAAATCAGAAACTTTGTTACTCAAATAATATGTTATAAGTTCTTCATCACTTGGATGGAACCTAAACCCTGGAGGCAGATTTTTCTCATCCATTATATTATATCTTTTTGTGTGGAGGGCCAGCCAACATGCCCTATAAAAAGGTGCGGTATTTTCTGTATCAAAACTTGAGAAAGAAGTAGCTATTCTTTTTGTCTTCATTTTTACAGCTACCATATTGACATTGATAGAAGCATCAATCAACATTTTAGAGTTTCTTATGTCATTATCTTATTATTATAATGCCACTATCACTTGACTTACTATGCTTAATTTTGACATTTGTATGTACTTAGCTTCTTCCTATCCATCATAAATCACTATCTTACAGCCTTTTATTAAATTTTGAGCATTTTACTCAATAACCATATAAATCAATATTGTTAAGTAGTAGTATTAATTTTCTTAACGAGTGTGTCAAAACCTTAAAAAATCGTTTATTGTAGACTAAAGCGAGGGAGTATTCTCTAAACTGCAACTTTACATATATAATATATATATTTTTATGATCGTGGTATTTGGACCAGCTTTCACGAACCTCGACTAATTCCACAGGATATTTATCACCTCCCACCTACAACATATACTAGGTAACTTTATCCACCAGGGTTAGGACAAATGAGAAGAATCACCTAGTGTTTTTTCTCTCTCCTTAAATATGAGATTTTAGGGTTCTCAACCACTTCATTGACCACTAGGACATACCCTTGGGCCTCGGGTATAAATTAGTAGTTAAATGTATGTAGATTAAACTGCA